GTGAACCTAAATATTATTCATATGGAATAAAGAAGTTATATGTTTTGCACACAATATTAAGATATATGACGAGTGCACTTAATTACAATATATTTAGAATAAATATTTAAAATATGACGCATCATGTCAATGTGACCATGGATGTGAGAGTCTTTTTCATTATTTCCTTGAATGTCCATTGTATACTACTCAAAGACATACACTGTTACAATCTTTAGAAAGTATTGTTAAATTTAGAACACTGATTGGTATTAATCGTATCTCACATGGCAATGCAGGTGTCTCATTTACTGCAAATTAGAATGTTTTCAAACATGTACAAATCTATACTATATCTCTCCAACAAAACGTTTTCTCCGGTAACTTCTGTTTCACATATGCTATTATTGGGAGGGGTCTTTTCTATCAATAAACACAATCAAACCTCTCAGTGACAAACCGGTTTTTATATTCGATAGTAATTGATAGTAAAATCAATTTTGAGAAGAGAAATCATTTATCATTTAATCACAACAAAGTTCTATTTACCCACAATGAAACTTCTCAGTAACGAACCTGTTTAAGACTCACCCTGCTCTACTCACTAGACAGTGGACTGTTCCATTATACCCGTAGGTGTGACCCTAATTAACCTTCTAGTTCAGTGTCTGTCAATTGGGTGTCTGTCAATTGGGTGTCTGTCAATTGGGAGATAACCCTGCTCTCCAATAAGACCATGTGACACAGTGGTGACTGCAATTTGGAAACATTTACCATCTGAACAAGTCCCAGGATTCAAACAGACGAATACAATAGACCTTAAGACATCAGGCACAACTGGTTTCAGTTCACACCCTAGACAGTACACACCCTACTGAGTAACAGTGACAGTGGCTGTGAAAATATATCTCTGATCGAAAATAGGACATGAGCGGAAATTATGATGTACTTGTTCATCAACTATTGCTTTATATAGCTAGCTACTGGAGTGTTTATGTTGCTCCAAAACAACTACATCTTAAAACTCACCTGCAACCAACGTCGCTTCCGGAATGCAACTCTCTCAGTCTCAGTCCCAAGTTGACATTTCGGCCTCTGTGTTTGTTTGGAATGTCGAAAGGAATACCCGATACCCGAACTTTTGCCTATTTGTATCCATATTTCGCCAGAGGTTAGGTCTCTTTCATAGCACTTCTTGAAAAGTGTAACGAACACAGATGACCATGTGTGGAGGGGTTCACAAAATCTGCACGACCACAGTAAACAATCTATGCCCTTCCTCTTGTCAAATAGAATTTCTCAGGTAATGTATCGATACATCCGTGCTGTTTACGCAATTGGATAATCATCAAAACTCGAAGTGCAATTGTCAGTTTCCAATACATAATCACAACAACGCTTCATTCAAAATATTGCGCTTCGTGTCACTTTCAACTCGATGGCAAATACACTACTGAAATGCCAACACACTGAGCGGACTCTCGGGTATGACGTCACACCCACAGACGGCAGACCGCTAAAAATAAAAATATGCATACGAGTGGGCGGGGCTAAAGTGGTTTTAGTTTTGGTGCATATTTATAATTTTTATGACTATTTTTCGTAAACGGATGGTGCAGATGTATATATTCATGTTTGAATGGCATTATGTAATATAAATGCATAGTGTTTAACCTTTTTAAAAATCCTTTAAAGAACCACTAAACTTTGTTTTTTGTTACTCTTTTAACTATTACATATGAAAGATTTGTGGTTAGTCCTATCCGGAACACCAAATTTATTCTTTAAAAACTTGTGGTTAATTAATACCGAGCGATTAAAAGTGGCCAAAAGTCGCCTGCTTCTCTCTCCCCGCTAACGAAACCACAGACAGGTTATGTAACTCTGTCGCCAGAGCACTGCAGTGACGTCATATGAGGAACGATTTTCAGTTAGTTGTATAGAAAGTGTGTAGCATGCTCATCATTTTGATGATTTCGACATCAACGGCGACATGTCAATCGTTGCTTTGTCGCCAATTGCTCCTAGGGGTCGGGCGATGGTGTCACCATGCACAGATTCCCACAGGACCCGCAGTTCGTGCTAAATGGGTTATGTTTGTGAGTCGCGGCGCGGCGTTGGGAAGCCTGAAACGATATCTTACTTGTGTTCAGATCGCTTCACGGAAGTTAAAGAATCAAAACTACTTACTAGTTGTAGTAAAATATGTATATGATTGATGACCATAAAGATTTTCCATGACACAACTTGTAACATAACGATTTCTTCCTCGGAAGTGAGGTTGTGGTCGAAGTAACAATAATATTGTAAGTAGTATTATATTGACACCCACCTCGCTGCCAGGAGAGAAATTGTTATGTTATCACGCTATGTCATGCAAAATCCTATTGGCCATCAATAAAATAAATATTTTACTACCAGTAGAAAAATAGTTTTGATTTTGTAACTTCGGTGAAAACAAATCTAAATAGCATTTATCCTCAGACTGGCGGATGTTCCCGACAGGCGCCGCCATTTTGAAAATCGTAAAGTCTGTTAGAATTAATGAGATTATAGTTTGTTTTCATCAAGTTAGAAAATCAAAACTACTTTCTACTCAGAAGTTAAAATATGTATTGGAATCATAACCAAACGGATTTTGCATGACACAACTTATAACATAACGATTTCTTCCACGGAGGCGAGGTGGGGTCGAAGTTACAATACTGCGCGATAAATTTCTTGCTACATTCACATGGTTAATGTCCACTCACCAGTATGTAGATACTAGTCAATAATGCGTCTTTATATTTGGTCTTATAATCCTTATTAGTTTGTGATCATACTTGTATGCATTTTGAAACTAAATAAAAGCAGACGATCTGCTGATACTTATAGTGAATTTATAACAGAACTGTAATAGCTAGACATTTTATAGTTTGCCAATGTGAATCATAATCCGCTTTACACACCCTAGTGTATGTTGTCTGTCTCATTACACTTCACGGCGAAAACAATGATTCTGTTGAATGCTACGACAAATGAATAAAAACAAAATGCAAATATTAAAATTAAAACAGATTAAAGTTATAGGAACAATATCAGGCCATTACCTTGTTCAAGGAATGTATCCATCAATATCCACAAAACTGTTCCAAGTGATGTGTCTTTTAACAGTTTAATATACGAAAAAGTGATCAATCTTTTCAGGTATTGGTGTATAGTCTCATTGGTCACCCAAGATAGCACACCTGGCAACTAATTGCATAATGTCCGCCTTTCTTTAAAACAGTAATTTTGTTAGCCAATAATGGGCAATCAATCAATGTATTGCCGGTTAATCCTTTGAACGAAGCACGCGTTGTTTTTACGCGAACACCGACCACGACAGAGTGTATTCAGTATAGATTAGTAAATCTACATACATAAACACTACCTTTTGACAATTCCGCTGTGTAAGATAAAAGTAATTAATCAATCAGCGTGTTATCGGTTAATCCTTTGATCGATGTTTATAATGTTGAATATTTACTCGGACACAAGAAATGCCAAATGGGAACCTTTGTCGGGTAATCTAAGTGTGTTACCACTAATTATACCTGTTATAAATTCATTACCTGACCATCAAGTGAATGATGACAAATAACATGTGTAGGTTTATACCACCTAACACGGGTTACAACAAGGGAGTATTAATTGCTGTATTGCATGTGAAAATTTATGGGCCGACACTGTTTTGAGAATACAAACAGATGTTTACATGACATGATTAAATATCGAGGTAAAAAAACACAGAAATGGGATCAATTTAGATCAGTCATTATACAAATAGGGCCTAACGACACCAATCGATTTTGACAGAATCGTCTATGAAAACAAGTTGTAACTCGGAAACTAGGCAAAGCAGGAGACAAAATTAAATGACAGTAGATTGTGAGAACATATAGCTTTCATTTTCCACAACAATTGTCACGATTTCAGGTTTATACAAGCCTGTAAACAAGATAATTTACCCCCTAAAATGTAGATGAATTCTGCATCGGCCCTCAAAGCTATTCCTCATATGACGTCACAGAGACGCGACGCTCTGATTGGTTGAAATTTCGTTCGCGGGTGAGAATTGTGCACTGTTGTCAAAAAGGTCGATTTAAGTCAATTAAAGGTCGAAATGAGTAGTTTTAATGACGGGGTTTCATTTATAACGATGCCAGTTAGTGATTTATGTATTTGTACCCCCTAGGGTTTATGTGACCTTTAATGCCCCATGTCAAGTTCCCCCTGCACCAACTGACACACAATTCCTGGTTATTTTCGAAATTGTTCTTTTCTTATAACCTCACCCTTTCTTAAATCTTTGATAAATTGTCTGTGTAGATGCTTTAATGTGATGCACAGACTTGATTGACGTTGTTAGATCTGATAAAGATTTCACCTGTTGTTTCTAACCAGAATAAACAATCGGATTTCCACTTGGTCCTACCAGTTTTGTTCTTCCACTACAAGGTCTGTTTTCAAAGTCTTCCAGATCAGAAAATTTATTCAAAATTCGTCCAACTGTACATCTATGATTTCCTACTAAAGTAGCTATCCCACAGTTTTTCAAGTATTAATTCCTTTTCCTCTTCCATTAATTCTTTTGCCAAGCAAGCAATTGTCTGCTTCATATGGGACTGGGGGACTGGTGTAAATACACAGCTCGTAACATCATCAGAGCAGTGTCAAGTGAAATATGACAAAATATCACGTCCCAATGTCTGGTTTATAAAAATGAATGATTTGTTTTTAGCAAACACTGTCTGTTTGATATCTGCAAACGTGTGTTGTTGCAATACATGTGGCATGTCACTATATCTTCAAATCCTCATTATCAACATTCTGATTACAGTGTTCCTACCACATTTTGTTAGCATTAGCAAAAACATTGAAGTCATTTTCCCAACATCTCATTCTCTTAGTCCCTCACATGTCTGGTTCCAGTGATGATCACTTTCAAGTTGCAAATACTATATATGATGTGTTCTACCTTTCTGTTTCTGTAGGTAGGAAAAAGGTGAAGTTTTTGCAAGGTCGTGATGGACAAGAATGGGTATGGGTGATGGGAGATCATGTCCATGATAAGCCAATACAGCAGCTACTGGATGAAGAAGCTCAAGCCAAAGCTTTACAACAGGCTGAGAAGGAGGCACAGGAAATGAGGTAGTATATCCTTCTTGTCAAGTGGAAATTTTGTCACTGCTACTTTTTGTTGTAAACTCAACTTTGTAAACATGTAAATGGTAATGGACTTTGACATGTATAACTCCGTTACTGGGCTTACACCATGTGTTTTATATATAATTAGGATCTTGAGTATTTCCTCCTTTACCATATATTACACTTATTTCATATATGTGGAACTGCTGGACTGATATGAAGAATAATGGCATTATGACAAGAAGTTAATTCAAATGATATTGCTAGTTTGAGGTTAAATTATCTGAAACAAGTTTTCAGCTTCAAGGAACAAGAATTAGTTTATCACATTGTGGAATTCATTGCATATCTTCCATTGCTTGTTCCCCGCATCTTAATGATGACATCCATGTCATTATTTTAAAGAGGAAGCCTAGTTATCTAAGTTGGATTGCACAGTACGGGGGTACAGCTCCTTCTTATTTTCAATTTCCTCTCAGCATCAGAGTCTACTGACTATATGACTATAACACAGGCTCATTTTCTATGGAGGTGCATGCCCCAGATGTTATTCGTCTTACGGACCGTTCATAATTTATGGCTAAGAGGGGCGATGATTTTTATGGAGAAGCATGTACAATTTGAATGACCACCACCTAAAATTTATGTACAAAGTAAGTGACCTCCCTCATGTCATGTACAAAATCAATGCCCCTCTCGCTCCCATAATTGTTAACTATAATATTTTAACAGTTTGATGTACAAAATTGCTAGCATGCGATAAAATGTTTAGGTCCAAACTCAATCACTGAGAGTTCTACTCTGTGATCTTCCTTGTTCAAAATAATAACAGCAAGAAAATGCAGATGATTTTCAGCATGAACATTTTCAATTTGGAGATAAACTTTCTGTGTTCTGAAATTAGAGGTAGTATAACAGAATTATGATAGCTCTGAATTTAATTTAAAACCTCATGCTGAGGTATTCGATTTGAAATTAAAGTTAGAGTTTCAGCGTGAGGTTTTAAATTAAATTCAGAGCTATTATAATCAAGTATACTACCTTTAACTTCAAAACACAGTAGGTTTATCTCCATTCTACCATGACAATTTTATGATCAATTTCATCTTTGGTTACGAATCAATACGTGAAGCAGCCTCGCATTCCAATCTGAAGTGGTATCACTCCAAATGGGGTGATTGGTGGTAAGACCCTCAGTAACTAACGAACACCGGGTTAGGTAATGACAAATAATGTTTTGTTTTTTCACTGCATTACTCACCAATCATTAACTGATAAATTGGAAAACATATATCAAATATGTTTAAAAAGCTTGGTTCACATTTAAAATTCCACTGTAGACCTTTTCCACACACCCAATAATCGCAGCAACTTCATGGCCTTGACTGTTTCTCGGAAGTCATTGTTTACCTTGACATATACTGGAAATTTGTAAAGATTCGAGAGGAGAACTTCTGACAGTTTGTGCAAGGTTAACCTGACTGTATGACTGAGATAGATTCTTTGATATCTAAATATTGGTACCTTGCCAAATTTCTTTGTTGTACGAATTTAGATACTGTTAATTTTTAGTGCCCTGTCAATTTAAAGATTTCACGCACCTCTACTCCTGTGTGCAACAGTAGAGTCACTGTCGTGGCTCTTACACACTCATTTGTGTACTTTGTGCTTCTGAATCATGGGTCGTATCTTGTTGTTCATGTAAATATATGATAGAATCTAATTCATTTTGTTATTATTCCCCCACCAATTAATGCGGGGAGATATAGTCTATGCCTTGTCCGTCTGTCCGTCGGTAGTCATTTTGTTTATGGAGCATAAGTCAAAAACCGTTGAATATTTTTCAGCAAAACTTGGCAGATATATGAGACAGATCCCAAAGTGGTGCCTTTTGTTATTTACAGATTTTTGTCAGTTTTATTTATCTTGGTTTCCATGGAAATGATTCGGATTTAGTCTCAAAAGGGAGGGGTGGGTTTCGTTTCCGGAGCACAACTTGAAAACCTTTCAATATCTTTCTACAAGACTTGGCAGACTTTGGACTTTGTCTAATAAAATCAAGTTCGACTTTAAGTAACTGAGATGATTTGTTCTTTCAAATATGTGGGGGCCGGGCTGATTTGTCATCTTCTGGTCACTCTTGTTGTCCCCTGCCGCAACGCGGAACAGGGGACTATGTATTCAGCAGCGTCCGTCCGTCCCGATTCTTGTTAACGCGATATCTCATGAACTGTTGTACCAAATGTCTTCAAATTAAGTGACAACCTACATTGAGGGATTACGCAGACACCAGTCAATTTGCGTAGCCTTGACCTTATCTTCAAGGTCACCACGACACTCTTAATACTTTTCAAACTCTTGTTAACGCGATATCTCATGAACTGTTGTACCCAATGTCTTCAAATTTGGTGACAGCCTACATTGAGGGATTATGCTGACACCAGTTCTTTTTTCGTAACCTTGACCTTATCTTCAAGGTCACCACGACACTGAACACTTTTCAAACTCTTGTTAACGCAATATCCCATGAACAGTTGTACCCAATGTCTTCAAATTTGGTGACAGCCTACATTGGGGGATTATGCAGACACCAGTTATTTCAGGCATCTAGTATGTGACCAAAAAATACAAAGTAGTAAATATGTTATAAATTTTTCATTCTTCTTTAGCGGTGGGGACATTGCCATATTAGTGGCAAACACTTGTCATTTGTTGTATTTGGGGTTTCAGACAGGATTGACCATAAACTGTCTGTGGAGACATCATGGAAGTCATCAGTCATTTGTCTAAATGGTGTCCTGAATCTCTGTTAACCTCTGTACGTTTGGTAGTTTCCTCTTATTTAAAGCATGCTCAGCCTTTTTAGCTTTAACAATGTGATGAAAGAGATGATAAACTGGATGTATCATGTGAGTGACATCTTGTGGGACTTACAAAGAAGGTATGTTACAAGTCGCAGCTGAATGGGGTTTCCCCTGGTTTTTAAGCTGTGTGGTTGTTCATTAGAGCACTGTCCTGCATAAAAACAGAACACATGAATTAGGTGTAAGGTGGATGAGATTTTTAAGAGTTATTTTTTGTATAATAACTTGTGTATTCATATACTCAACCTATCTCACATGAAAAAACCCTACTCACCTGTTCTCCGGGGACAGTTACTCCAATCTGTATACTCTAGAAAGAGAAGAGTTTACTGAGTAAGTCATGTGATCAGATTGGACATTATTCAGGTGGTTGTTGACCCATTGTTTATGGGTGACAGGGGCGGTGGGGTAGCCTAGTGGTTAAAGCGTTGGCTCGTCATGATGAAGACCCGGGTTCAAATCCCCACATGGGTACAATGTGTGAAGCCCATTTCTGGTGTCCCCCTGCCGTGATGTTGCTGGAATATTGCTAAAAGCGACGTAAAACCAAAACTCAGTCAGTCAGTCAGTTTATGGGTGACAACTAGTATGTGTTGGGGTAAGATGTCCATGAAGTTGGAGACTTGTTTCAGATATGTGTTTGCTATCTGAGTATTTCCTACTTGTAGAGAGAGAAAACAAGATTAAATATTGTTCTGACATTTTTTGGAGATCTTTGTTCTGTTAGGTATCCAAGCAAGGAGAAACTTTGTAACATTTTTGCACTGTTTAGGTTTAGGTCATTTTCAGTGAAAGCTTTGCTTACAGGTTGATGAAGAACAGAAATTGATTATTTTTCCTTATCCTGACTCATGCTCTTTTGCTTGTCTTCTTATTCTTGCGAACATAGTGGAACACTTGTATCTCCTATTGAAGCTCCCTTCAATAAAGAATAGACGTAAAATCACTCCTACCAAGAGTTATCTCTCCAGCCGTTTTAGGCGGGAAACTGTGGCGCCACCATGCCCACATGCCTCTCTCTCTCCTTCTTCGCCCTGTGGGCAGGTTGTGAGAGCACCTGTGTCTCCTATACGACACTATATCCTTTAATTAATTAGTTATTCTCCTCTATTCTACTTTTATAGAGGTTTAGTTAATATCCTACTACAATATGGTTGGATATTTAATCGTATTTAGCACTGTTTATTCACGGTATTATCCGCATTTGTTCAGTTGTTTACATTTCATGATAACCTATTTTCGTTGTTGGTTTAGGTTCGCTGCTGCAGACCCACGTTGATTGTGCCCTAGCTGCACAACAATATGTACTTCCTGCTATAGCTGTAATCTTTATCAGCTTTTAATTGATATTCAAATTAATATATAATTTTTCTCCGTACTTAGACGTACTAGCAACTATCCAGGTGACTTCCAAGTCATGGGTAAACTGGCTGAGTCCCTCATGAGCTGTCTACTGCGGTTAGACGACTTACTACCATCAAGTGAGCTGCCGGAGGTGTCCTCGGAGGATAGGCGTGGGATGTTGTCCGCCTTACTTCGAAGACGTTGGCTTCTACATCGGACAACCCCTCAACGCGGATGTAGAAGACGCCATCCTCTACGCAGAATGAAGCCTCATCCTGATGCCAGTGAGAGGGCTTCTTGATAAGCCACTGCTGATCATCCAAGAGATACAGCACGCAGTCCGAGGGCCACAGATGAGCGATCTCCGGACCATATCGCTATCAACGCAGAGAGGGCAGCTCTACAATCATCGCAGACGATGTATAGATGCCATCCACTACCCACAGAAGGCTACACACCCCTTAGATGACGACAACTCTACGGGGACGTCTGCGCAGACTACAAGGACTTTCTCTGCCGAGATTGTTCCGTTGACGGTACAGGGACTCTCCGATGATCAACCGATCATATTCCCAGAGGTTCATCATACAGCGCAGATCTCCACGGTACCCGAGGTATCTACGATGACAACAGATGAGCGTCCTGTGGGCCACGTCGCTATCAACGCAGAAAGGGCAGCGCTACTACCACCGCAGACCTTCAAACCGGGGGGACCTTATGCAGGAGATGAACAGCTTTACGGCCTGGAGAAGGAGTCACATCCCACAACGAGGTCCCGAGCCTTCGCGAAGGTTC